ACTTTTTCTGAAGTCCCCGCAAGTTGATTGTAACAAGATTTAACTGTACAGTAGTGTCAAAATTCACTCCAGCTTCCAGTATTATTTCATTCACACCTAATTGCAGGTGGTATATCTTGCAATTTGATCTCACACAATTTGATCATCCTACAATTCAATGCTCAAATGTGCAGGAAGGTTGACATCTTTTAACATGGTAATTGCTGCAATTCAACTATTTAAATTTTTCAAAAATTTTTCATTAACAGGGAGTTTTCATTATTATAAGAAAAAGAAAATGTCATTCAAGGAGGCAAAAAATCCATCAAAATGTAAAACTTTGCAATATGCTGTGAACCATCCTGGGGCAATTCAACCCTTGCCCCACAATGAAATATGACCACCTTTCTTTCCTTTACAGAGTGTCTCACAATTTGACCGTAGTTTGGCAATGGATTAGGGTTGAATTGCAAGGTACCACCTGTATTCATTTAAAAAATCAGTCCCTATTATTCGTTTTTTTTTTATTATTTATTCATTCATTTTTTCATTATTTATTCATTCATTTTTTAATTATTTATTCATTCATTTTTTAATTATTTATTCATTCATTTTTTCATTATTTATTCATTCATTTTTTCATTATTTATTCATTCATTTTTTCATTATTTATTCATTCATTTTTTCATTATTTATTCATTCATTTTTTCATTATTTGTTCATTCATTTTGTCATTATTTATTCATTCATTTTTTCATTATTTATTCATTCATTTTTTAATTATTTATTCATTCATTTTTTCATTATTTATTCATTCATTTTTTAATTATTTATTCATTCATTTTTTCATTATTTGTTCATTCATTTTTTAATTATTTATTCATTCATTTTTTCATTATTTATTCATTCATTTTTAAATTATTTTTTCATTCATTTTTTAATTATTTATTCATTCATTTTTTTCATTATTCATTCATTCTTTTTTTTCAACAAAAAAATGCCTCATATTGCAGCCCCCGAAATACAACTTCGACTGGACAGTGAAGGACGACTACACCTACAACAACTACGGCCACCAGGAGCAGCGCGACGGCTACAACACCGACGGCTCCTACCACGTCCAGCTGCCCGACAGCCGCGTGCAGACCGTCAAGTACTACGTCAACGGCGACTCGGGCTACGTGGCAGAGGTCAACTACTCGGGCGAGCCCAAGTACGACACCTACCCGCAACAGCCCGCGGCTTCCTACCACCCCAAGCCCCAGTACAAGCCCGCTCCGGCAGCGTATAAGCCCGCGCCGGCCTATGACCAGTACAAACCCGCGCCGTCTCAATACAAGCCAGTGTACGAGTCCGCGCCTGCTTACAAACCAGCGCCTGCTTACAAACCCGCGCCTGCTTACAAGCCCGCGCCTGCTTACAAGCCCGCTTACTAAATATAATGATACAGATGTTCAACAAAGTGAAGAAAAGGAAAAAGAATAGCTTCTGCTGGTGAAAAAAAAAGTGACAAAATCATGTGTATGTTGGGGAAAAAAATAACGCATCATGTTTTGGGTTGATTTGTGTTCAACCATCATGCATGATGTGTGTGTCCCCTCTCATGAGCTCAACATTTTTGCTCATCATGTAATAGAGACTGGAAATAACTGCATTTGTTTCAGTGCAGCAACAAAACCCCACCATTAAGTTATTGAAATGAAATGCATTTTTTATGCTTGGCAATATATTGAGTGTTTGATTTATTGCAACCAATTCATCATATGATGTATAACACATAAATTATAGTAACATACAAACCCATGCCTGGAGCTTACAAGCCTGCTTAACTGAATATAGTATAGTTGTTCAATAAGTGAAAAAAGGTGCTACTGGAAAAAGGGACAATCATGTATTTTGGAGAGAAAAAACACATCATGTTTTGGGTTGATTTGTAAGCAACCATCATGCATGTGTGTGTCTGATGTGTGTCCTCTCTCAAGCACAACAGTTTTGTTCATTATAAAATAAGAGACTACTGGAAATAACTGCATTTACTTCAGTGCAGCAACAAAACCCCACCATTAAGTTATTGAAATGAAATGCATTTTTTATGATTGGCAATATATTGAGTGTTTGATTTATTGCGACCAATTCATCATATGATGTATAACACACAACTAATAGTAACATAGCATACAAACCCATGTCTTCAGCTTACAAGCCTGCTTAACTGAATATAGTATAGTTGTTCAATAAGTGAAAAAAGCTGCTACTGGAAAAAGGGACAATCATGTATTTTGGAGAGAAAAAACACATCATGTTTTGGGTTGATTTTTAAGCAACCATCATGCATGTGTGTGTCTGATGTGTGTACTCTCTCAAGCACAACAGTTTTGTTCATTATAAAATAAGAGACTACTGGAAATAACTGCATTTACTTCAGTGCAGCAACAAAACCCCACCATTAAGTTATTGAAATGAAATGCATTTTTTATGATTGGCAATATTTTGAGTGTTCGATTTATTGCAACCAATTCATTCATATGATGCCTTACATCTAATAATTACCAAAATAAAAATCATGCCTGCATGCAGCTTACACAAGCCTGCTTACTGAATAATAGTTGTTCAATAAGTGAAAAAAGCTGCTAATGGAAAAAGGGACAATCATGTATTTTGAAGAGAAAAACACATCATGTTTTGGGTTGATTTGTAAGCAACCATCATGCATGTGTGTGTCTGATGTGTGTCCTCTCTCAAGCTCAACATTTTTGTTCATCATGTAATAGAGATTGGAAATAACTGCATTTGTTTCAGTGCAGGAACAGAACAACCAATAAATTATTGAAATGAAATGCATTTTCAATGCTTGGCAGTACTGAGTGTTTCATTTATTGCAACCATCAATACCTCAGAATCCAGGACCATATTACATATGGAGAAGGATTTTGAAATATTTTTTGGACTGCATATTTTGGCAATATGAGTATTTTCCTTGATTTAAAACTTTTAACAGGCATATTTTCCTTAATCAAAGAAAGAAGAAATAGCAATTCTTGCTTGAAAAAGACTTTTGATGAAGGTCTGGGTTATGTCTGCATTCAACCAATTATGTGTGTCCCCAAAACTCAAGATTTTTTTTATCATAATATACTGACAATAACTCCATAATTTTATGAATGATTGAAATTAAATGGAATATATGCTTTGAAATGGAGTGCTGCTTAAATTATTTCAACCAATCGCTCATAATTTAGGATCATATAAAATGTAAAACATATATGTTAGAAATATTTTTGGACTGCATTTCCTGGGAAAATAGGGGTTTTTCTTGATTAAAAAAAAAATCGTGACATGCATATAGATCCTAAATCAAAGAATAAATCTTGCTTGAAACATGTTTGATACAAGTTTTGGTAAATTGTTTTCATCCCTGTGTGTATATATAACCCCAAACCAAAGATTTGATCAAATAACACTCATTTAAAATAAAAATAAATTAATTTGTAAAACCACAACCTTATATGCAATGTTTTGAAGGTAAATATATTTTCTATGGTGCATTCTATGGAGAGTATGATTGATTTCATCCAGTGGGTGAAATAATCCATTTGCAACATAGGAGTTTCCTTCCCAACCAGCAATTGTGACCAAATGGTGCATTGCTTAAATCTTCTGGTATTGGTCCTGGGTCAACTGCATCCTCACTGTGGAATTCCAATGAGCATTTAAAAATTATACTTTCAAATTCAAGTTATCAAACCCACCGCATAAGACTAGATTCATCTGGGCACCTTCCAGGAAAACAGAAGGGTGAAGTGCCAATCCATGCACAAATGTAACAAGGAACTTCATCCTCACAAATGGTGGTTCCTTGTGCAAACATGACTGCAGACACTAAGACCAGCACTAGAATATGAATGTTGACCATAGTTTTCCCATCTGCTCAAATCATAGGACTGATATGTTCTATTCATGCAGAACATGTGAAATACTGTGTCACAGAAAAAATGGTTTGACAGCATAAACTCATCAGAAACACATGGAAATCTCACTTCATCATTGTCAAAGAAGAAATCTAATTCTATGTACAGGCTCCATATCATAGGAACATATTAGTATATTTTTAAAAGCACACACAATTTGACTTCAGTGACTTCCAATTGCCTTTTATCAGTTTTCACTCCCTTATCAACAGTGTGCTCAAGATTGATGACACTTAATTTTTCAGTTATTGAAGGAAAACACAAATACTCTCATTTTAATTGTTACATTTGCTTTTATATCACCTTTTGAATATGTTTTCCTCAGTAGTACAAAAAAGAAAGTTTGAATTTTATTCAAATGCAATATATCACAGAACTGTGAAGGGTAACAAAATAAAGGATTTCCTTCCCAATGAGTTTTCCTGTCAGGAAATTGTCACCTTGTTGACAGATCTAAAATCAGGATGCCATGTTATACAGTCAAATATGACAAGGATTTGTTATATATATATATTGCAAATGTGAGGAATGAAGTTCACAGGTGAGTGAAAATCATGTGGGGTTGACAATCTGTATTATCTCAAATAGACACACTCCAGCCAGCATATTTGATTTTTTTCTTCCTGAGAAGTCAACTTAGTTCAAATAGTTCAGAAAGGATAATAAGTTGCAAAAATGAATACATTGAGGCAGCATAGTTTCATTTCCACCAAAAATGTGATCCAAAACCAACAAGAGGAAAGGTTCAGGTGAAAATAGAGACCAATTGGTCCATGATCAGATGAGTCCACAACAAAGCTTCTTCTCCCCAATCCAGCATCCATATCCAAAGTGCACATATTCAGACACTCCAGACACACTGACTGGGTCACTGCTTGAAGACCTGCAGAACGTATTTTGTTAATAGAATATTTGAATTATTTTGTCACACAATATTGCAAATTATCAAGCACTTACGCCAATTGGAGGGTCCCTGATGGACAGTCCCCAAAGCAGACTGGAGAGTGTCCAATCCACTCACACACTCTGGCTTCAGTCTGGCCCAACATGGCCACTGCCACCAACAGACAAATGACTGCAACCTTCATAGATGCCATTTCAAAATCCAACTGATGCCAATGCTGGACCCAGCTAGAGCTTATGTACCTTCTTTGAAGAAAAACAGATGAGATAAGAGGATGCTCCCAGTCAAGTGTCTCAGGTCAAAAGGCATGTGCTTTCTGCACCTGAGATAACCAGAATCAATGCTTGGCAACAGGCCTCTTGAGCAAATCTTTGAGTTTCATGCAACAATGATGACAACACCCAAAAAGGGGTGCTACAAAGTTTTGTAATTGTTCTACAGAACATTTCTCTTTTTACAGCCCCTAATTAAAAAAAAACTTGAGCGTGCATGAACATCTTGCTGAAGCATGGGAAATATCCTCCCTTGTATAAAAATAACATTTACATTGAATTGGCACCTTAAAGTTTTAATATATTAATAACATTCTTTGAAAACAATTATGCAAACTACCAAAACAAAGTGTAAAAATAGTTTTTCATATAATTTTCTTTTGAAAATGAACTCTTTCTCAAAACCCAATGTAATGTTCAAAATCTTTGAAGCTCAGCACAAATATCTTTTGAATTATTCATGTCCTGCTTTTACATTGTTCATAGCAGCCATATTCAAAAAATAATGGACCTATGCTTGCTACAAAGTGGTAAAAGACTATATTTTAAAGCACCCAATGTGGTGCTGAAAATCTGTGAAGCTCATGCATATTTTTCAAATTTTGGGTTGAATAATGTCCTGATTTAAAAAAATGTTCATCATATCTAATTCAGTAAATATTTAATTCATGCTTGTTACAAAATTTTGAAAACTATTGTTTATAAGAGCCAAATGTAATGTTGAAAATCTTGGCTAACTTTCAAATTTTGAATTTTTGTTTGAATGATATGTCTTGCTTATATAATATGAATTATATCAATGCATTAATGCAATACATAATTAAGTTCTGCTTGCTATCAAATGCCTTTGCGCTTTAAAAATATGGATTCATCTAATTTTTCAAAAGAATGTGCAGTATACAGTATATGCAAATGCCCAAGAAATAAAAAATACATATTGTATGTTAATTCATTTCAGTTCATCAAGTTTTGTAAATACCTTTTGTTGATGATAACTTTTGAGGTACCCTTGACCCCAATAAATTTCACATTACCAGATAAATTAAAAGAACTTTATTCAGACCTCACAAAGGTCACCATCAGATATTTATCATGACACATCACTGATTTGTGGAAGACCTCTCAAAAGTATATGGAAAACTTGAGGCATCATTGTAGTAGTCCCCAGGGGCCACAAACACTTTAGAAAAATTTGGGTTAAATGCCCCAGGTGTAAACCCAGGTCTGGATACATGCACAGGTGACACCTGGGCATCATGAACTGCAGACACTGGATGTTGTTGCAATGCATTGGCATATGCAGATACTGGGACATAATTTCCTGGTGCGGGGAATACAAATGAATCTAGTCTCTTGTTCTGGTTATTCAGGAACTGTGTGTAGAATGGGTTCACTACAGGTATTTGTGGCTTGATGGCTTGAGGCTTGTTTTTATCATCTCCTCTTTTTTTGTCTTCATCCTCTATGTCACCAGGACCACTAGGATACCCTGGGTACTCTGGGATTCCACCTGAGGATGGAAAATTTGGAGGATATTGTCCAGCAGGGAATGGATAAGGAGATTGTGCACCAGGGAAATTTCCAAAGGGTCTCTGTGGATACTGTCCAAATGGTCTCTGTTCAATTGGTGCCTGTCCTGGTGGGAAGAATGGTGCTGGGTACCCTGGATACTGTCCAATAGGTCCCCCTGGATAAGGTCCTTGTCCACTTGGTCCCCCAGGATACGGTCCTTGTACAAATGGTCCCCCAGGAAAAGGTCCTTGTCCAAATGGTCCCCCAGGAAAAGGTCCTTGTCCAATTGGTCCAAGTCCTCCAGCTCCAGCTCCAGGAAAAGGTCCTTGTCCAAGTGGTCCAAGTCCTCCAGCTCCAGCTCCAGGAAAAGGTCCTTGTCCAATTGGTCCAAGTCCTTCAGCTCCAGCTCCAGGAAAAATACCTTGTCCAATTGCTGGTCCAGGTGCTCCATCTCCAGGATAAAAACCTTCTGGTGGACCCAAATTTCTCTCTGGAGGTTCATTAGGGTTCTTGTTTTCAACTACTACAGACTCCAAGTCTTTTCTGCTTTGGTCCCCATCAGCAATCACTGTTTCACTGCCAATTGCCAAAGCACCCCAGGGTTTATTACTGCTCTCTTCATTCTGGTCCTTGTCATCTGTGCTTTCCAGGTCAGTCCTTGGAGGAGCAATTTCTTCTGGCTTCTTCCTAATTTGCTCAACATTCTATGGAAATTATGTATTCAATTATAGGAAGACTTTTCAATCAAATATTTCAAAAGTTCTATATAGCAATGTTCCCCAACCCATTGTCTTTGGACTGGCACTGCTGGTCTGTGGAAGCACTTTTCCAGTCCATTGGAAATTCTCTTCAGCACAATAAATTGATCACAACTAGCAATAAAGTCTATATAACCTTTGCCTCAAATTTTGAAAAGACAATGAAAATTAAATATTAACTGATGAAACATACAAGTTGGCTTTCATTCTCATAACACTTCAGACTCAGTTTCCCCTGCTTGAATACATTATTTAAATTTTTTAGTCTGACAAACCTTCCTTATTCATTTTTAATTTTTAAAGGCATTCCACTATATGTAGCTGCTTCATTGGCACTTTTGCAAAAAAGCAGACACTATTTTTAAAAACCTGCCATAAATAAGTCTTTCAAGCAAAGCCTTTTCAAGTCTTCAGAAATTTTATGAAATTTTGCCAATCTGCAGAAAATGTTTAAAAATTTGCCAGTCTGCCAAAAATTGCATGCAAATATGCAAGTCCACAGGCACAATAAGGTTGGGGAATACTGCACTAAAGCACAAACCTTGGCTGGTTGTTGGTATTGATAATGATAGAAAGGATGCTGTTGGTAAACATAAGGGACTATGAAGGCACTTGGTGACACAGCAGAGAAAGGTTGATAGACTGCCAATTGCCAAAGCACCCCAGGGTTTATTACTGCTCTCTTCATTCTGGTCCTTGTCATCTGTGCTTTCCAGGTCAGTCCTTGGAGGAGCAATTTCTTCTGGCTTCTTCCTAATTTGCTCAACATCCTATGGAAATTATGTATTCAATTATAGGAAGACTTTTCAATCAAATATTTCAAAAGCTCTATATATAGCAGTGTTCCCCAACCCATTGTCTATTGAATGGCACTGCTGGTCTGTGGAAGTATTTTTCCAGTCCATTGGAAATTCTCTTCAGCACAATAAATTGATCAAAACTAGCAATAAAGTCTATATAACCTTTGCCTCAAATTTTGAAAAGGCAATGAAAATTAAATATTATCTGATGAAACATAAAAGTTGGCTTTCCTTCTCATAACACTTCAGTCTCAGTTTGCTTGAATACATTATTTTAATTTTTCAGTCTGACAAACCTTCCTTCAATTTAAACTTTTAAAAGCATTCCACTATATATAGCTGCTTCATTGGCACTTTTGTAAAAAAGCAGACACTATTTTTAAAAACCTGCCATAAATAAGTCTTTCAAGCAAAACCTTTTTAAGTCTTTGAAAATTTTATGAAATTTTGCCAATCTGCAGAAAATGTTTGGAAATTTGCCAGTCTGCCAAAAATTGCATGCAAATATGCAAGTCCACAGGCACAATAAGGGTGGGGAATACTGCACTAAAGCACAAACCTTGGCTGGTTGTTGGTATTGATAATGATAGAAAGGATGCTGTTGGTAAACATAAGGGACTATGAAGGCACTTGGTGACACAGCAGAGAAAGGTTGATAGTATCCAAAAACTTGGTGACCAGGGTAAAATGGTTGAAGTTTTGGCTGATATTGATGTACAGGTTTGATCTTAATTTCTTGTTTTTCATCATCTCCTGCAAAAACCATAACATCAGCAAAATGATGGCATATACTGCTGATGATGGACAATTACAAACCATGCTTTTTGTATTTGGCTTCTTGCAGATCAAAGTGTTTCACAGCTGGTGCAGGGGCGCCACCTGGTGGAAGAATGCGGTACCCTGAAGAGTCTGCCACATAGTTGACCACCACATCTTCTCCTCCAGGCTGAGAGTGTGAGTAGGAGCCTGGCCAAAAACCATTCACAAATTGTCATGAAAAATGAGATAATAAATTTGAAATAACTTTTTTGGAACCTGTGACAATCCCTCCACTGCTCTGCTGCTGATGAGCTTGACCAGGAGCAACATAGGCAAAGTGATAAGTCTTGTCATCAACATTCTGTCTATGGAGGACAAAAGAGTCCTCAGGAAGAACCCCTGGCTTTAAATAGGCACCAGTGTAAGCAGGTTTTTCATCAGCCTGTTTGGGTTCATCTTCTGGCAAAAGAACCCCTTCTTCTTCCCCAACTGTCCTGTGCTCTTTGAAAAACTGAATGGCTTGTCCACTTGACAATAAAAACTAGAGATAAATGCATCTCATCAGCTTATTTTCCACCAGCACTTATTACAGTTGCATCACTCACCAGAAGGACTGATACAGTCCAGAGCATTTTTGTTATCACACTTTCAGGAGTCTGAAAACAGATTAAAAGTCAGGGTTTAGACCTGGAAACTGCTTCACCAGAAGCCCAAGAAGGACTAGGAGTGACTGAGCACTGAGATCTGGCTGATGATACCCTCAGAAGAAACCCATTGCCCCAGGGACATATTTTCATCCTTCCTCTTCCTCCCCACTCACATCTTTTTTGGCCTCCTGGCACAGGTTGACTGAACCCTCCAAAGCTGCACCCTGATGAAACCATCCAAAAAAGGGGTTCCTCTGAAAGTTTCCACGCACTATATATAATCAGACTGACAAAATCCACTATACATTGTATTTCATCACAATTATGAATCATTTGATGATCCTTTTTATTTTTTCCCTTATCAATGGATGTATGTGTGTGTGTGGGGGGGACCTTATCTGAATGCTGACAAGCAGCAAATCAACATTCATCAATCAATAAGATTGATAGAAATATTGCTAATTTTGATTTCCCTAACTTATTGTTGTTTGATGTAAGGCTATGCACCTGTTTATGAATAATGTCAAAAGGGGTGCTTATGAAATTTTCTACAAGTGCATGCCAAAAGTTGGTTATGTCCTTGGTTTTTTTCTTCAAAGAAGTAAATGAAATCACTTCATGGGAATTTGGACATTCCTGATGCAAAGCTGGAGTAATTTGTTTTGTAGAATGACAATTTTACCATTTTAGTTATTTTTGTAAGACTTATTAATAATTGTATGAGGACTTGAGCATTCCAAATATGTAATAAAGTACTTGGCTGGATGAGTCACACCTTTTCAAAAATAACAATTTTTTTCATTTTGTGATGCATTCTAATAAAACCCTGTGATGAATTCATTTAAAAAGGGGGTAATCACTATACAATGAGATCTGCTGAAAATTCAATGTAATTTTCTATATTATGAAATACATGATGATATGAGAACTTCAGTTTCTCAGCTAGAGTGATTAATACTGTATGCTTGAAATTTGAATTTGACTGACTTTAGAGTTTCTTTGAAAAGCAGGTCAAAAGGTGTCCCAATGAAAGTTTACTCACAGAAAAATGTTTTCCAAATACTGTTTATAAACTGTACTTCACAACATATTTTTTTTGTTGAGGATATAAAGCCTTTTAAATTCATTTTTTCAAGGGGGAACAATTGTTATGAAATTCAATGTCAACTGGTACAATATGGGAATCTTTTCTGCTGTTGTGATTCTCCAAATCTTCCTGCTGACCCCAAATAACTGTGTCAACATCCCCTGAATGTCACCTGAAATGCCATGGTGTCACTCAAACTACCCACACAAGAACACTGGACAAGACTGAGGAATAAAAAAAGAAGAAATTCCTGTGCTTGCCTGAGAATCCAGTTTTGCTTCCAGGCATCAGGTCAATGTCCTGCTGATGATCTGGTCCAGCTTTGATACCCCAGGTTGATTCTCCAGAAACGGAACAAATGAATAAAAAAGTATAAAAAAAAAGAACTTACCTTATCCATGGGAAGTCAGTCATGGCTCTTGGCTAACAAACGGTCCTCACTTGTTGCTGGCATGTACATTACCATTAATCACTTCTTCAAAGCATGACGCAAAGCAAAATACAACTACTATTTAAAAAAAAAATTATATAAAATGCAGTGGTTATTTATCTCATTCATTTTAAAAGCCACTGAAATTAAATATTACAATAGGTACACATTTAAAGGGCAATGGGCCATTTTTATGTCAAATAAATTTTTAACTCAGGAGTTATTCTAAAGTTTTTTCCTAGAAGAGATTCTTTTTTTGGAACCCAACATTCTTTCAAGTTAACCAGAACCATTACCTCATGAATTACACCTTTTATGATGAATTTGAAAAAATACAGGTATGTACATTACCATTTAACACTTCTTCAGGAATGACACAAAAAAGGAATAAAAAAAAAGATTATATGGAGGTGAGTGGTTACAGTGTTTATCTGAATTATTTGAAGAGGCACTGAAATCAAATTTTACAATAGGTACACATTTTAAGGGCAATGGGCCATTTTTATGTCAAATAAATTTTTAACTCAGGAGTTATTCTAAAGTTTTTTCTTAGAAGAGATTCTTTTTTTTTGGAACCCAACATTCTTTCAAGTTAACCAGAACCATTATCTCATGAATTACACCTTTTATGATGAATTTGAAAAAATACAGGCATGTAAATTACCATTAAACACTTCTTCAGAGAATGACACAAAAAAGGACTTTAAAAAAGATTATTTTGAGGTGAGTGGTTACAGTGTTTATCTGAATTATTTGAAGAGGCACTGAAATTAAATATTACAATAGGTACACATTTTAAGGGCAATTGACCATTTTTATGTCAAATGAATTTGTTGATTATTGAGGCAAACAAGGACTTATACAAGGAGTTATAAAATTTTTATTTGTTTCTTGTAAATATATATATATTTTTAAACCCAGCATTCTTTCAAGATAGCCAAAATAATTTTCCTGTGAATAACACCACTTGAGGATGACTTAAAAAAAAACAGTCATGTACACTACCATTTATCACTCCTTCAAAGAATGACACAAAATAAAATGAAACAAGCTTTTTTTTACACAAAAATGAACACATTAAATTGCGTGGTTGTTCATTTCATGAACTGTATGCACTTGAAGAGTCAATGCAGTTAAATATTACAAGAAACAAAGCTTTTCTTAATATATATTGGAGGTGAAAAAGGGATAGTTTTGAAGGTTTCTTTTGTGCCTTGAAAAGAATTGTTGGGACCCAAGATTATTTCAGCATGACCAAAACCATTTTTTAATGAATACCAAAGCCAGTGGATGAATTGAAAAATACAGTCCTTTATTGAAAAACAGATCTATTTTTGTCAAATGGCTGCTGTATAGGAAATAAACCGCCTGTTGATGACTGATATGAGGGTTCCTCTTTGAAAATTAGATGAAAGAACTGAATACAGCAGTTGCTAAATAATTTATTTTTGAATTCCTTCTAAATTTGTAGTTTTTTTTGGCGTCAAAATCAACTCTGCAAATTTCTCAAAAACACAAGAAACAGTAATTCACACCCACACACTCACTCGCTATTCGAATCGACTTTGCAAACAATTTTCGGTTTAACGGAGCTCAACTCACTTCAAAGGTTTTTGTTTTTCTATGGAACTCAGGTTTTCTGGCCCTTTGTACTTTTACAGAATAGAGAAAAAAACATACGTTAGGGAGGAAGTTAGTTTTTTGTTTATTGTCTGAAAGGAAAATTTCGAAGAAGATGACCATGGATGGTGGCACTGGTTTTTATAGCAACTTTTCTTCGGGACTTGTTTTGGCTCTTCAATAAGCCCAGAATCGTTTTTTTTTTTTTTGCAGTGAGAATTAAAATCAATTAATATTGTATTCCAATTTATTGATTTATTTGGCGCGTGCTTCGAACCTTCAATTTCAGCACACTCAGCATCAAATTTATGAAAATGAGAACACCTTTTCCCATTAAAACTTGACATCAAGACATTTGAATGGGGAATATTTGAAACTTTTCTGCCCTAATATTATTATTTTTTAATTTCTGGTGCTCAAGAAATATTTGAAACTTTTCTGCCCTATTATTATTATTTTTTAATTTCTGGTGCTCATCAGGAGCTCAAGAAAAGTCAGATTGCAGAAATTTAATATAACCTCCTTCATCCAAAAAATTAAAAAAAAAACCTGCGTAAAATTTTGCACCAACTTTTCAAAATATCAAAATAAAACATGAAAGTTGATGAAATCATTTTTCTGTTTAATTCTGAAAATTCTGAAAAATTAATTAAATTTCAGCAGGGGGTGGGAGGAAATAAAATGCATGGTAATGACTTCAATATATTGTTTATTTATCATCAAAGCAAAGGTCAAGTAACGCAATTTCTTTGATATATATAATGAGTAAATCCATATCAATTATCAGGGAATCTTGGTGGCAGGTAATTCCCCTGAGGTCTTTCTGGGTTGAACCTGTTTGGCTGTCTACCAGGTGGTGGCAAACCTCTCTGGGGACTACAAAAGAAAAGAGAAATAAATTTAAAAATTGGCACATATAGTGAAGAACATTTGTAAAGTTTGAAACTCACTCGGTAATGTCCCCAGGAATTTTTGGCCTGGTGGGAATTTCACCAAACCTTCAAGAAAAATACAAATCACACATTTGAAAAATTGAAATTGAGCACTTATTGAAATAAAATGCAAATAAACATGTGTTTACCCATCATTGTCATAGTCTGGATTGCTTGGTTGTCTAGGGAAACTTGGGGATTCTTTCCTGAAAAAAAAATTTAGAATAATACACTTTCACTGCTTTAGTAACATATTTGAAAAAAATTTAGTAGATAAAATGGAATTTAAATTATTTATTTACCCCAGATTGCCAAAGCTGGGATTGCCTGGTGGTTGTCTGGGAAAGCTTGGTGGCTCCCTCCTGTGAAAAGATGCACTATTAAAGGATTGTCCCCATAAAAAATTTTCAGTATATTGAATTTAAATGTTCATTACACTTTTAAAAGATATCTTCAAGTGGCCAAACATTCAATTTCAAAAAGTGAAATGTTTTACCCTTCTGGGCCAAAGTTGGGATTGCCTGGTTGTCTTGGGAAGCTTGGTGGCTCTTTTCTGAGAAAAAAAAAATTCAAAAACAATTTAAAAAATGCATAAAAATCATCAGTGTGATTAAGAAAAAACAAACCTGGAATTGTTGTCATCCAAGAACCTTGAATCCCTTTCAGTTGTTGGAGCCTTTTCTGTGGCATTATTGCCCCTCAGATCAATGTTGAAAGTTTGAAAGAATTCATTGTTGCAGCAAAGCTTTTTAGACCCAGTCCAACACCTGCGTCCAAACGGCGTTTCAATACTGTATCCGGGAAACGCTCCAATGCCGGGATCTCTACTGGCGAACCTGGAAAACAAAGTCCGCGTCCGCTATAAATTATTTTATAGATGTCACTCGCTGACGCCCCGAGCAAACTAATTTCATTCAGATGATCATAACTTCGCGAAATGTTCACGTGCACTATTGAATATGATATCATTTTGTAGATAAATAAACGGGCTTTCAGATGGAATGAATTCAAAATTATTTTAGCGACTGGTTTTCTGGAACACAGTGTTAAAAGAATGCAAACTCACGCAATTTCTTGATACTCCGCAGGACACATGCCGAAACAAAAGGGGGCATGCCCGATCCAAAGACAATCACTGTCGCCTCGGGCAAAGGCCCAGGTGCATAGTGCAGCCACACAAACTGTGAGAAACAGCCTCATGTCTTACTGGAATTAAAATAAAAAATATAGCTCCACAGTCGGTCTTTAAAAAAAAATAGGAAGCAGAAGATGGAGAATAAAAATGCCTACTGTGGTGTTTGCTGAAGTGAAACAGTTCCCACAGTGATTTTTGAGCAAATGGGCAGCTCATAGTTCTCAAGAGAGTGCCTTGGTTTTTTTCTGTCACTATCTTCTTTCTATGATAAGGACTTCTGGAAAAAATTCCACAATACCGGATGTTCTGCAGCTGAAGATACTATTGTAATCTTGGCCTGGTTCTTGTCAAACTTCCTGTTTCCTCAGAATTTTCTTCTTTTACTCACCAAGCCAAGGTCTAAAAAGCTGGTTTGAATTCCTTACTCTTGCATGATTACCATTGGTCATCATTTCGAACCAATCTTCCAATTTTAAAACTCAAGAACTTCAAAGTTCATAGATTCTTACTTTTTTCATTCATAAAATTTTAAAGTTTTATGCATCAGTTTGTGAAGGAATTCATTCTCAAATTATTTCCCACAGTATTTTCCCACATTTTCAGTGATTGTTAACAATCACTGAAAATGTGGGAGAATACTTTCAAAATACAGAGGCAAAATTGAATTATCCTGGATTGTGTATAACATATAGGAACTCTGTTGAATAGTCTTTCAGAAGAGTTGAACTAATAAATGTTCACCAGGGATATTTCATGGAGACAACAACAAGTTGTATTTTCCTTTCTGCCAAACATTGTTTGAAGAAGTTTCCAAAAGTCACATAGGATAATGAAAAAAATGGCACTTCATTGATGAATCTTCTTTTTTTGGCTCAAGGTGGACAAGAATGGCAATCAAGAATTTGTTGAAAGTTTCAACCAGAGCCAAAACCACCAAACCCATTATTGTGGTTTCCACCATTACCACCAAACCCTCCACCTCCTCCATTGTTGTGGTGACCACCATTGCCACCAAACCCACCACCTCCATTATTGTGGTGTCCACCATTGCCACCAAACCCACCACCTCCATTATTGTGGTGTCCACCATTGCCACCAAATCCACCACCATGGTGTCCACCTCCAATGAATCCACCATTGCCACCAAACCCACCACCATTATTGCCACCTAGTCCACCACCATTTCCACCAAAGTGGCTGTCATGTCCAGAGTTTCCAGATCCTCCAAACCTTCTTCTTTGTCCTCTTCTCTTGTTAGAGCCATAAAATCTTCTGGAAGACTCTCCAGAATCATCAGGGGATCTCTTGGGTCTCTCCAGATCCTCTTTCCTTTCCTGCATATGATAAAACAAAGATAAACCCAATTGTAATATTGTTTCTTAATTTCTGCTGGCAAAAAGCAAGCTTAGGATTCTTAGCTCATCAGATTACAAATCAGATCTGGATCTGAGAAAATCACCTGAAGCTCATCCTTGTCCCAGTTTTTTCCAAAGGTGCCATAGTCATTGAAACCTTTTCCAGCAAATCCTTCACCTCCACTCACACCAAAGGTTCCATAGTCATTATAACCATTGTTGAGGTGGTATTTTTCCTCACTGGAGTCTGAATCTGAATCGGTTTCCTTAATATTGTCAAAGTCTTTCTTCTCTTTCACTTCCTCAGGAATGACTGTAGAGATTTCTGCAATGGTTGAAGCAGTCTCATCTGTCTCAACAACTGTCACTTCACTGTCTTGGGTTGCTGGATAAGTTGCAGCCAGGGACACCAGGAAGAGCAGAACCACTACTGACATCTGTTTGAATCATGAGAAAGAGTCCAAGAAACATGAACTTCAAGTCTAGAGCAGGTGTCACTCTTTCAGAATAAAACAAAAAAATATTTGGGTTGAGAGTTTGAAATGTTATTCTGAGAGACTGGAAGGAACCATTTTTAGGATATCAGCAATAACAGTTATTATTTTTTTTAGCAGATTTGAAAACTGATTTTGAGACTCACTTCTCTGGCCATGATTGAAGATAAGAAACTTTACAACTTTCTCTGGCTTGGTTTGAAGGCAAACTGAGGTTGAGGAAGGAAGTTGGTGGCAATATATATACTGTATATATATGGGATTGTCTGGAGTGTTTTGATAAACACTTGGTTCCTGGAGATGAGCTATTATCTCTTCTTCAACTTTTTAATTTGAAGTGGTCAAGCAAACACAAGGTCATGACTGTTGCCAGACCTTAACACAACACTGTATAATGAAGCAAGTATATCAAGTTTCTCTGTGAGGTTTAAACAAAAATAAAAACAAGAAAGGGGAGATTCACTTTGAAAAGAGTCTTCTTTCACAAAAAACTTGCCCTGTCACCCAAAGTAATGCAGGCAACTGAGAAAAAAAAAGTCTCCAAGTGAGTTCCTCGAACCCATGGGAAGCCCCAGGTTTGTTTATGACACGTTCAAACATTTTTGTTGGAGTGTCTTGAATGAGTGAGTCAAGTTCTGGTGAAGAAAATTCCAGAGATGCGCATCTGGTTTATGCAGAAATGCTGGTGACCCAGTGTCTTCGTCCCAAATTTCTTGGAATACCAGTGAGTTACTGAACTTGAATTTATGAAGTTCGTAATAAAATAAGTAATTCATTTACCTGAATTAAAACGGATTTTACAAATCAAAAAGTATAAAAATGTATTTTACTGATTATCAACAAAATTTTAGATTTTTCAAAATCAGTGGAAAAATTGCTTTTTGCACAAAAAGGATTTTTTCAAATGAAATGGTTGAGAATGCTTGTAATTGCATTGAAGATAGTATATCCAGTATAAACACTAAAAATATAAATCACGGCATGATAATCTACAGAAATTAAGCCACACAATCAACACTATAAAATTGACAAAAGAGGAAATTTTAGAACTTCACCTCTTGTATTTTTATAATCAATTCCTTTGGATGAATATTCAATGACAATTCAAGATATAATAAAACCCAATAATATGAATTTTCTGCAGGAAAGTACAGTGGCCCCCTGCCTAACAGACCTCCAGTGTAAGGGATTTTTGCCGAACAGACCAGCTCTGCAAGCAGTTTTTCCTCCCGCCCAACAGACAAAATCCACCAAGACTTCTTTTGGTTTAAAATTAGTGTTGAAAATTGAAATTTTTAATTTTTTATGCAATTGAATTCATGTAAAGGACTTTTTGTCTAACAGACTCATCCCTTGCACGAATCAAGTCCATTAGACGGGGGTTGACTGTACATTTTTCAGTTTTTCACAGTTGAGTTTTAAAATTGGGATTTCATAAACCACTCTATATGTAACTACAGTATATCAGCTAGTATATTTTGTAATGAAAAATGTAATTTCATGAATATTCCATAAATATTTGTTCATATTTGCTACCTTGCAAAAGTTTAAAAGTATTTCCTAGCAGGAAATAAGAGAGGAATCAAATTATAAGTAATATTCATCCGATTTCATTCTTGTAAAATACTTTTCCCCAACTATCAGACTTTCACAGAGTATTTATCACTACAATAAGCACTATAACTTACTAATTGAAGTTTTTATATTTAACATAAGGATGGAAGCAGTATATTCCCCTAATTCACTGAATTTCAAGTAATGTTCACACTTCCAGGCTTAAAATGGGTGTATACAGTAGTACTATAAAAGCACTGGCTTCAGGAAACTCAATTTATTTGTCAAAGACCATCATTGCCAAAGCAGCACTGAAATGTGAAATAAAATTCACAATTTGCAACACACAGGACAGGGTACAGTACAGACAAGTATTTTCCAAGGAGTCCACAGCTCAGCCATAGTTAAATGGATTGTATCCTCCTTGGTAGCCACCATAAAGTCCTCCAATTCCACCTCCTCCATTGAAACCATTAAAAGCAGGTCCACCAATTCCAGGGTATGCACCTGCTCCTCCATAGGGGGAATAAATGCCTCCTCCTCCATAACCATGATTGTAACCACCTCCATAAACGTTGAAACTGCCTCCAAACAACCCCCCATGTTTTCCATGTTTTTTGCTGAGGAACAATGGACTNACAATAATTCAATGCTTATCAAAATCAAAATGATTGTACAGTAATTCACTTACTCTGAAAATATAAGAGCAATTGCTGTTCACCATTATACTAAATTAATCAATGAATAACAGGATAACATTTGAAAAATTATTTTAAAAAATCAGGACCATAGTTGCTCACCATCAGAAAGCAAGTGAAGGCACTTTTATTCCAAGAAAAACTCATTTTTCTTCTTGACTCCAAGATAAAAAAAATGGCAACAGTGTGTTGAACTGGCTGAACAGCAAGTGGATGTGATCCAAATTTCTGTCCACCACATCCAGTATTTTTCCTCTACAAAGACTTGGCAGGTGCTCAAGGGCTTTTATCCATTTCCCACGTTGTTTCACACTTGATGCCATGCGGGTTTCCATCAATAAATTGGTCCATCAGTACACAGTGCCAAGGATATGAGGGCCAACAGGAAATTGACTTTCAACATATTCACAGCTGGGAATGCTAAACATCATGGGCATCATAAATGTCATGTGTAAATGCTTAGGAATAAAAGGACCCATGATGAATATAATGCCATAAAACATGAATTTATTGTGTACATTCTTTTTTTTTGTACTTTAGGAGAAAAGAAGATCAAAGAAAAGCACTGAATTTTCAACATCAAAATTTCTCAGTGGTTGTGATTCCATCATCAGTTATTGTAGCTTCAGTTTCCATCACAGCACTTATTTCCCCTTGAAATGCAGAGTTTGTGGTGTTTCTGGATGCTTTGGAAGATGAAATCTCTGTAGTGGAAAACTCAATTTCTTGTGATGTGGTTTCTGTGACTGATGATGCAGTTTCCATGGAATCATCTGTACTGGAATCTGAATCACCACTGATTCGGGAATCCCTTTGAACTTCTTTTGAAGATGGCTGAACTGTTGTCTGGATAGCATCAGTGGAGCTCTTGAGTCGCTCAACAGGAGCGACATCTGTGTCTAGCAGCGCTTCATCTGGCAGATCTTCGCGGAAGTTTTCTCCGGATTCAACGGTAGATGGCGCTGGGATGACGGGGTCGATAATTTCAAATTCTGTGAGACATAACACCAGCATGTACTAAGCTAACTAAGGTATATAGCAATAAGGAAATTTAACTCTTGAAGAGCCTTTTTTGCTCACCAGATGACACTGCTTCATCATTTGAAGGTAGTGGTTCAGTCCGCGGTGGTTCTAAATATAAATGAAAAATTTTTAGATTTCACAATTTATTCATATTTGAATGAGGAAAAATCCTTACTCACCAGGGTTTTGTTCTTTTTCAGACACCTCAGTTGTAGGTGGCAACTCTGTCATTGGAGAATCACTTTCCACAGAACCTTTAGGGCTCCTTTCATCTGATGGGGACACCTCAATAACTGGTGGTGATTTTGTCAGTGGAGCACCATCTTCTTCAGATTCATTAGGTTTTGATGTTTCTGTTGTTGACATCTCAACAATTGGTGGCGATTTTGTCACTGGAACACCATCTTCTTCAGATTCATTAGGTCCTGACAACTCAATCATTGGTGGTGATTTTGTATGTGAAACGCCATATTCTTCAGATTCATTGGGTTTTGATGTTTCTGTTGTTGACATCTCAATAATTGGTGGTGATTTTGTCCCTGGACGACCATCTTCTTCAGATTCACTAGGCTTTGTTTCTTCTGTGGACTCCTCAACAATTGATGGTGTTTTGAAAATTGGAGCACCATCTTCTTCAGGATCAATAGGCTTGGGTTTCTTTGAGGAAACCTCAATGCTTGTTGGGGATGATGTTTTCATTGGAGTATCCTCTTCTAAAAAAATAGATTTGCTATTTTAGTGAATTTTTACAACTTGGAGCAACAAATTTGTATAAATGTTTTAAATGCTCAATAAATATGATTTTTTTTTTTATTTTTGATGCATTTGTATTAGCTCTTTACTTTACCCAAAGTTGTGTAATCAGAAGGAACATTGCTGATTGTTGGTGGCACTGCTTCAGGATTAGCTGAAGGAATATATAAAAATGTTTTGGTTAAACTTCACTAACAAAATAAACTTAATTCACTCAAATGAAGGGATTACCTGATGTACTTTCGTATTTTGGTGATACTGTGGTTGTTTTTTCATTGATATCAGGAACCACTGGACTTTCAGGTTTTTCATCAACTATAAAGAGAAGGAATTATCTTCAAAATTTGGACTTGAATCTTCAAAATACAATATTTTATGTGTTTACCTTTCACAGTATCAATATCCCCTTGGGTCTCTGGGATTCCAGCATTGAAAGAGTTTCTTGGGGTAAGATTTGACCTGACATCAATTTGCCCCAATCCAAGATCCAACAGTCTTCTGATTTCATCAGAATCTTCAGAACTTTGACTTTTTGTAGTAGGTTCAGTGCTGCCCTCTGTTGAAGAAGTGATTGGCCCATGAGTGGCAGGAGAAGAATTTTGGATTTCAGGTTTCCTGACAGGTTCATGTCCTTTGCTGAATGTATAAACCCTGAACAAAATAAAAATGTCTACCAAGTATATTTCACTAATAAACATGTTTCATATACGAACTCACCTTTTGTTCACAGGCACAAAATAATTCACAGGAATTGTTTGTTTCCTCTGATAATGATGATGTTGATAGCCATGTTTGACAGTTGGTCTGGTTCTTTTGACATAAGAATAGGAAGAAGGTTGGGACTTGAAGTAGGTTTGAAAATGAGGCCCTTGGATGAAATAAGAATAAGCTGTTGGGGATGTTTTTGAAAAGAAAGTCCTTGATGGTTGGTATTGTTGCATGTGGTATCCTCTGCTGTGGTAGTGACCTCTACTCTTGAAGTAGCAATGCTTGTGACCTCTGGTGGCCAAAACCAGCAGTGACAGGAACAGCAGCAGACTCAGAGACAACTGATTATAAAAAACAATTCATTGACATTTTGACAAGTGACAGGGTTGGTTCATAAGTTTCAGCAGTATGACTAATTTTCCTGGAAATGTTTGAGTAAATAGAGGGGAACATTTTTTGAGTTCCTTAATTTTCAACATATTTCCACGCTGTTTCAATTTTTCTAAAAAACATTGAAATGGAGGGAACACATACTATGGAAAGTATACTATTGAAGGTTTTCAGGTTCACCCAAATGAAGGTATGACAGATATCTATGCTATTATGTGCAGTTGTTACAAAATATTGGAAATGCTTTTCTGCAGTCATTTCTTACATAGAAAAACCATTTCTAATCGAATTTTCTTTCGATTTATTGGCAATCTTTTGAAACAATTAATATAAATTATCAGTTTTTTATTTTTTGGTAAACAAGAATTTGCACATACAGTATCTGCTTTCAACACACATCACATTTCACTGCATGGAAAATTGGGTATTTCTGGGTTTATAAGAAATTTTTGCAAAATTTTCAACATTTTCTAAACACGGTCCCCAGCATTTCTTTTCACTAACATGAAATAAACAAATGGAAAACACTTAAAATTGAACCTGTTAGTGAACCATTTGAAAGTTTATTCATTCCACACCATCTTCTATGAAATTGTAGGGAGTCTAATATTCAAACAAATTGCAAAATAATCTTTTTTACATATTTTCTGAGATCTAAAACTAATATTAAAATCAGAAAAAATTGATTTGATGAGTTTGGATTGTTTAAAAATGTTAATTGTTGGGATGAGATTGAAGAAACTCCTTCAGAAAAAAAATAAATACTAGATTCAATCCTTGTTTTGCAATTCGCTATTTTTTTGAAAGGATCTGACTAAAAAATTGGTGTTGACAAAAAATACAATGTTTCTGAGAATCCAGCAGCAGTTTATTGAGTACAGTATTTACTATTGGTTTTTTTTAGGTAACTCCGGTTTTAAAAAAATTGTTGAAACACAGCCCATTTCACTGAATTAAAAAAAAATTGGCTAACCTTGTTCATGGTGGCTGGACAAAAAGTGAAACCCACACTCATAAGGTTCCAGGGCCAGGGAGCAACTGATGGTGGGTTGGGTGACTCCTGGTGAACTTTTGCGGATTCTTTCCTCTTCCAGGAAGGCTCTCCTGTTTTATTTCTTTTTAATATTTGCTGTTGTTGTTGATGATGAACATGATGGGGGGAAGATGCTCAGTATTTCCATAGACTGTTTTATTTTTTTTATGAATAAATAATAAGGGGCTTGGCCAGAGGGGGAGTTTGGTCCAAGGTCCCAGGGTTATTGACTTGCATTTTTGATAGACATTCCCTGAGGGTCTGGGGAAGCTTTTTCTCCCCCACCAAGGAATTAATATTTATCCTTTGCTGATGTTTCACTTTGAAATGAACCCTATGCACACACAAAACTTCAAGTTGTTCCCCAATAATGAAATTATTTGAAATTTTTGGGGGAGGCGAAATCTCATTTATTTTTCCAAAACAGCAACAACAAAAAATGTATTGCTGCAAAAATAATTCCTTCAAGGGTTTCCTGTCAGCAGAGGAATTTTTCTACTCAGGCCTCACTATGAAATGATTCACTTTGACAAGCCATAAACTTTGAGCTTTTTTCCTGATAAATTTATTGAAAACTTTCAACAAAAAAAGATCTTCATCCTGGAAAAGCAAGACACTTTTTGTAGCTTCAAAACAGCTAAAAAAAAAGCTTCACATCTGCAAGGGAATTTTTATGTGCAGATGCTTTACTGTGAAATAAGCTTTATATGCAAAAAAATTGGCACTTGATTTCCTGCATGCTAAATGGACTGGAATTATGTTGGGGGGGGGGTATTATCCTAAAAAATCAACTGACTTTCATAGTTGCTTCAAGAAATAAATCTTGCAATATAGACTCTTTTTTGAAGGATGATTTTTTTATGTTTTTTTATCAGCGAAATGAAATGAGGCCATGTCAAAACCTTTCAATTGTCCTTCAAAATTGACTGAAAATTTGGAAAATATACAAATTTCCCACAGAAAATCAACTGACTTTAAATTCATTCAGAACAGCCTAAAAAGGATTTTTGTAATGCAAAAATGGTTCCTACTTGAAGGTTTGGGTGGGGGTACTTTACATTATCAAGAGTGTGAAATGAGCCACATCTCAGAATCATTCACTTTCCCTGTAAAATTGACTGAAAATTTAGGGGGAAAAGCACAAATTTTCCAGTAAATCAACAGAATTTTTATTCCTCTCAAAACAGTGTCAACAAAAAACAATCTTATGAAAAAAAATTAACCACTGCTGGAAGAACCCTTGCCTCCATGTTTGTGGCCATGTTTGTGTTTGTGGCCATGCTTGTGCTTGTGCTTGTGGCTGCCCTTGTGCTTGTGGCCATGCTTGTGCTTGTGCTTGTGTTTCTCACTGTGCTTGTGCTTATGCTTGGCACTGTGTTTATGCTTGTGCTTCTCACTGTGCTTGTGCTTGTGCTTGTGGACATGATGATGCTTGTGCTTGTGGGAATGCTTGTGCTTGTGGCTGATGACTCTGAAACAATCAAAGATACAAAACAAGGGATTAAAATAATATCCTCTTTCACCATAAAGAAGTAAATACAGTCAACCCCCGTCTAGCGGACTTGATTTGTGCAAGGGACAAGTCTGTTGGACGAAAAGTCCTTTACAGGAATTCAATTACATAAAACATTAAAAATTTCAATTTTCAACACTAATTTTAAACCAAAAGAAGTCTGTTTGGCAGATTTTGTCTGTTGGGCGGGAGGAAAAACTGCCTGGTCTGTTTGGCAAAAATCCCTTACACGGGAGGTCTGTTAGGCAGGGGGCCACTGTATATACACTCACTTTCCTGGGTCTGCATGAGCAGCAGCCTCAGCAAGGGCCTCAGCAACAATTGCCAACAGTACAATGCAAATCAGCAGCAGGGCAAATAACTGAAGAAAAAAAATCAAGTTGTTATTAGTGGCAAATACTTTTTTTTATTTGCCTTAAGACTTTCTCACTTTCTGGGGACCCATTTTGTCCTTTTGTGGCAGAAGCCAAAGAATCTGTGATGCTTAGTCTGCCCTGGATTCCAGTATATATATGGAACCCTCACCAGAATTCTGGTGCTGAGGGTGAAGGAATCTGCACTACTTGAGGACAGTTGATGGGTGACAAGCATTATTTTCCATAAGTTCCTCCTTTCTCTCATTTCCTGCATGATGTAATTGCAGGAATTGAGGTGGAAAGTGCTCACACAAGAAGAGGCCAAAAATTACTTGGATGATTTCAATAATATGTTCATGAAGGCTAAAGATGCTACTTTTCCAAATGATTTCTTCAGCACATGATTTTTAATGCCTTGTAGCAATGTTTTTTTCTTTCCAAATATCTTGAAGGAGTAATTATCTCATTGGTTAATTGAAGTCCAGCAAATTTCAATAATAACTTCTACCCTTTTAAATAACTATTTGCTTGGATGGATTCAAGAATATGTTAATGAAGGCTAATGATGATATTTTTCCAAATGATTTCTTCAGCACATGATTTTTAATGCCTTGAAGCAATGTTTTTTTCTTTCCAAATATCTTGAAGGAGTAATTCTCTCATTGGTTAATTGAAGTCCAGCAAATTTCAATAGTAATCTCTCCCTTTAAAGTAGCTATATTTGCTTGGATGGACTCAAGAATATGTTCATGAAGGCTATAATGATGATATGTTTCCAATTGATTTCTTCAACACTTGCATTTCTAATGCTTTTAGGCAATATTTTGTAACTTTCATAATGTCTCACCGGTTAACTGAAGTCCTGAACATTTTAGTAATAATTCCCCCTTTTCAAATAACTTGAAAATGATAGTAAACATCTCTGTAATTTTTTTTTATATGAAATTAAGAAAAAAGGATGATGTATAAGGAAACCTGCAATCATCAGCCAAAAAAGTGACCTTTTCAAAAAGCCGGTGTAAAAAACGCTTGAGCTGTTTTTTTCATTTCACTAAAGAAAACCGCTATTCTCTTGGTTTATGTACAAAAAATATATATCCACCACTCTGCTTATTCTTTCACAAGAGGGGGAGCATCCATGAAGTCAATTTCCGCTGCTTGCTTTTCCCACACCTGATAATCCATAGTCATCCCTCTGTCTTTCACTACTGATGCCCATGTCAGACTTTCAAATGGGAAATAGTGACACAGTTTCCAGGATGAACCTGATGCTAGCATTTTGGATCAGTGTAGTGGCCTGTTTTGAGGACAAGAACATAAGTCAATATTTCTTTTTGCCCCTGAGGGCATTTTCCAAGGATAATTTGGAGCATCACAAATATGTGTTTCAACTGGTGCCACAGTACAAAGTGTTTGATGAGCCTGAAAAGTCATTCAAGCCTTTGTATGAGGAAAAGAATGTACTCAACAGGAACAGACCTTATGTTAAGGTTTCTTTCAGAGGCATGTGAGTATCATTAAAAAACCCATTTATTCAAACAAATATAAAAGTGTGGCAAACTAAAATGTAATCTGCAAGAAATTATGCAGAGTTGATTCAGGATCCAAAACCATAATTTGAAAAAATAATGTCAATTCTCAATTTGAAACAATTAAAAAATGTAACAATTTGGCAAACTAAAATTTAGCCTGCAGGAAATTCTGCAGAGTTCATATTCCAACAAATACATATTGGATCACCATGTCCCAAAATGCATTTCCCTGTAATTTGAGATAATTTGAAAAATATTTTAAATCCTCGATTTGAATGGATAATAACATGTTGTCAACTCTTTTTAACATAATAAACACAGTGTTGATTAAGAAGCAAGGAACAGCCTATAGTAAAAATATTGTATTTTGGAATAAAATCTTTCATGTATCACAGAAATACGGTATCATTGTCAAAGAAAAGTATCATGCCAGTATCACGCTTTATAATCAGAGCTTTATTCCAATAAATATTTGAAAACATCAATGCTTATATTAATACAGATCATTCTTCATATTCTACATTCTAGAGGCAAAGGGATTTTTCAAGAAGTGGAGGGTTGGCAAACTAAACTAATGTCTCATTTAAAATATTTCATTGGGTTTAAAGTTATGGCTTTCAGTGCTCCAAAAAAAAAGGACCAGCATATTTTTTGGTTGTCACTGTTAGTTGAAGCCTCATTGTGTTCTTATATGTTTCAGATGGGTGATCCATGTGGTGTCTGAAAAGGACTACATGAAAGGAATGCAAGACATCATCAACCCAAATGGAGATATAATTGAAGACACTTACTTTTTAGCAGGAACAGACAAATGTCAAGGAAAAATTTCAAAAGAAGTCTTCAGGAAAAAGGAATTGCTCATCAGAAGCTTTGGAAACAAGGAAAACTGGATGTCCAGACCCTTGGCCATATTTTTCTCAAAGCCCAAGTTCCAAGGGAAGCAAATAACAATTGAGTTGTTTAAAAACCATTCTTTTACAAAAGTGGAAGAAGAGCACTTTTATCCAAAGTCTTCCATTGTTGTCAACTCAAACTGGAACATCATGCAGTATGTTTAAAACAAATTCATCTTTCTTGGTTTCAATTTGAAAACAATCTAAACTGAATTTTTATAGTGCTGATGGCGACAGCTTCTGTCTTTTGGGGGATGAGGACGTCCTCTACATTTCAGACTGGGAAGCAGCAGGGTACTCATCACCAACAGATGGCGCTGAAGTGGAATTCCCCATGGTTTTTCCTGGTTGCATAAGGAGGCCATTCCAAGTTCCAGTTCAACCCCTGGATTTCTGGCATGGAAGACTTTTCTGCTACATTGATCCAGAAACTGAGTCCAGCTTCTTCAGCTCAAAGCTTCACACTCATGTCATTGAATAATTTTTTTTTTGAAATTGCACTGTTTATAATTTGATAATTATTTTGTGAGGCTGAAAAAAAGCTCGTCATGAACTATTGTTGCCTTTACTTCAGTCACCAGAATCAGAAATTTTAATGCATGTCTGATATTGAGACTATACACATGAAGATTGGTTTTGATGAAATTATTTGAGAAATTTTAGAGATTGTATAAGAAAGATCATTAATGGAGGTTAATTGTGATGCTTTTTTTTAAATGTTCCTCTTATTGATCTGGGGAAAACATTTGGTTCATTGTGGAATTTTTTACAGGATGATCTGTCAATTTGTGATTGTATTTTAGCATTGAATATTGTATTCAAGCAGAAAAATGTTTGTCATAATTTTGTGTGGCCTAAATTGCATCATTAAAAATCAAAAGCCGGTGAATTAAATGGCACATGAGATGAGGCAATATGAAGATTGGTTGACCAACAGGGTTTTCATGCTCCATCAGCATTCATGTGAGAAATTTGGAAGATATTTCAGGCATGATAAAAATGGGTTGTGATGATTGTTGAGTGTGCTCTTGATCTTGAAAAAAATTTCTTACATTTGGAAGCATTTTACAGGACAATGAGTCAAGCTGTTATTGTATTTCAACATTAAATATTGCATTCAACCAGAAAAAAAGGTTTGTCATAATATGGTGCTGTATGTATTTCAGTCATCATCAGCATTCCTCAAGAGCAGGTGCAATAATAAATGACATATAACAAGATGGAGATGGGTTGAACAGAGCTAGTGTCATAATAATCCATTTTTATGCATGAGAAATTTAAAAGACAATAAATTGTGATTTATTTTGTTGTTTCCTCTGCACTTTAACATCATCAGTTAAATGGTTTGTGATGAACAATAATTTTGCCTTTGATTTCAGTCATCAAAAGCAGATGTTTTGATGGGCATATGCTGAGAGTGGGAACAGGGAGATGCTGAAAGACCAACAGGGTGGTGCTGGTTGTGGTGGTCTTCCACCACAGCTTCAGCCATTCCAGGGTCCAAGTTGTTGAGGAATTCTGGATCCACTTCAGATGCAAACTGTGCCCTCAGGGGGATTGTTTCTTTCTTGTATTGGGTGCAAGTGCTGTAGACTGGGGGTTGTGGAATGGGTCTGCACCCATAGGTAGGGGGCATGCAGGACCCTGGAGGAGCTGGGATCACATACTGCTCATACCTGGGGGGCTGGGGTACTGCCACTGTCATCTGCTCTGGTTTGATGATGGTTTTCTATAAATATTAAATGAAAGAAAATTTTGAAAATTATTGAACTTGACTATGTATATGTTTCCCATTACATTAATTTGTATTGAAAGTTGCAACAATACCACAATTTACTTTATTGGTTTAAAAAGTCAAAATATTCATGGGACTTGTTTCAAAAGTTGTGTCAGTCTTGTTTCTTACTCATAATAGAAACCAGAAATATTTGCTTACAAATTGAGTGTTTTCTTCAAGTTTAGTGTATAATACATAATTTGTCAATGTTCCAACTTTGTGCATAAAGGTGGCAATGGAGAGGGGACAAATATTTGCTTTATTCCTATATTTCAAAAGAAAGTTCTTTCAAGTCTCTATGTGTGCCTTTCACATATTCCACATATCTATCAGCCATTTCTCAGTGAAAATTTCCCAAGTATGTATTTTCAAATAGAAATATTGAAGTTTGATGTAGTATTATTTAGTACTGTACTGCTGTAGACTAACTGTTTCACCACAGTATACTGTATTTATCTCCTTTACTGCTGTTGATTTATTTGTATGGAGTACACTACTATTCTTCTGTAAATACAGTCAACCCCTGTCTAACGGACTTGATTCGTGCAAGGGACGAGTCTGTTAGACAAAAAGTCCTTTACACGAATTCAATTACATAAAAAATTAAAAAATTCAATTTTCAACACTAATTTTAAACCAAAAGAAGTCTGTTTGGTGGATTTTGTCTGTTGGGTGGGAGGAAAAACGGCTTGCAGAGCTAGTCTGTTTGGCAAAAATCCCTTACACGGGAGGTCTGTTAGGCAGGTGGCCACTGTACTGTAAAAGTGTAGACTATTGTTGACTATTGTTCTGTAATTTTTGGTCCAATTAATGTAAAATAGAAAAAGGAAACCCACCTCAAAGTCACAGATGGTCTGGCACTTCCTGTTCAACACTCCGCCATTAGCACAAGTGCAACTGGGGTCATCCCCAAAGATCTGCTGGGCCATGGGATCATCTGGCATGTTCCTGGGCACTTCAGCAGTCTCACTCTGCAATTTCTGCAGGGCATAACTCAGGGCATCTGTTGCCACTTCTGGAGGGACCACATTGCTGTTTGGGCCAGGTGCTGGGGGTTGAAAAGACCTTGAAGCAGCCAACAAGTCCACACCATGCAATGGATCATGGTTGTAGTGTGGTTGGGGTGGTGGAATTATCATGAAGCCTTGCTGGGGATCAATAGTTATCTGCTCAGTCTTCTTATTATTGGGCACTGGGGATGCCAGGAGGAGAGTTGCCAACAAGCTAAAGAGCACACCAGTTTCAACCAACTCCATGATGTGACCAGTTGTTGAAAAAACCTGCCCAGTTGTGAATCAAGTGGAGAACTGAGTCCATATATTTTCAGCCTCAGCACCTGGAAAAATGCACCTGATGGGAAATTCCCCTCCCACTACTGCATTACCTGAAAATTTCTCATGCATCCCACCCAGGTGTCAATGGGAACCAGACACCTGGGATATTTTCAGAGATGTGGGTGGCCCATGATGGAGGATGACCTGCTTGGGGAATGCTATAAGCACCCCCAGAGGAAAAATGCCATTTTGCTTCAGTTGCTAGCAAGGAAAGTGTCTCATCTCCTTTCATTCATCCAGTCTCCAATAATATACAGCACAATGAAGATATCAGTCTTTGTGATTGCAACAGTCCTCCTCTTGGGAACATGTTGGGGCAGACCACAGTTTATGGATGATGCAGTTCAAGGCCTTGATCCCATGTGTGCTGCTGGACTAGGGAACCCTGGCACACCAATGGGCCTGGACCATGTGGTGCCAGACAGTGCAGTGGACCCATCTGGCCTGGGAGCTCAATGCAAAACCAGTTGCACATATCAAGTGAGTATAAATTTCCACAGATCCAGGATAGCTTTTTGGTGTGGGTCAAATTTGCCGCAATTGAACTTGCCGCACTTCAACTTGCCGCACCCTAACTTGCTGCTGCTGCAACTGACCACAGCCTGAAGTTACCACAGTCACAAGTTGCTGCAATCATTTCTCACTGCAGTCAAAACTTGCAGTAGTTCTAAGTTGCCACTCTTTCAACACGCTGTACTTGAAGATTAATTCAGACAGTACTAGGACTTTTTTCAAACTTAATTCACATCAGAACATGTTTACAATTGAAAAAAATGTATAATACAATAATATGGAAAAAACCTTACCATCAAAAATAAAATACACATCATTTAGCCACCAATAGTACAAGTTCAGGATGAAGGAATTCATTGAAACCCCCTCTATATATTCTAAAAATTTTCACACAGCAGAATGCCTAGTTAAGAAGTAGAAGAATGTGGAAATTCCTTTTTTTCCTGAAATTTTAGTCAATGCAATGGCAAATGGCTGCAATTCATTTGGCAAATTGTGATAGCAGCAAGTCATTACAGTGGTGAGCTGTTGCAGTGGCAACTTCCACCTGCAGTGACTTATCACAATGGCAAGTTAACACTGCAGCAGGTTGTGACAGCAGCAAGTTAACACTGCAGCAGGTTGTGACAGCAGCAAGTTAACACTGCAGCAAGTTGTGACAGTGGCAAGTTGTGACAGTGGCAAGTTCAACTGCTTGCAGCAGGTTGGGTGTGCGGCAAGTGAGAAAGTGGCAAGTTTCACCAACACATAGCCTTTTATGTAAATCCATTCATTCATGAATTTATACAGCAACCTGTGCTCAAGCCGGAAGAGATAACATTTGAAGTGGCCCAGCCACCCAAGTATGAGCAAGTTGTGGTGGCCCCACCACAGTTGACCTATTGCCCAGCCAAGGTGGCATACCAAGAAGTACATCAACCCCCAGTTCTGCAAAAATGTGTCCAGTACAAGAAGGAGTATGTGCCAATGAGGGCAGAATTTGAGTCACAACCTGTGGACCCAAGTGTCTTGACTGACAACAGTTGCCCTCATGCACCTGCTGGCTATGCAAGACCCATAAAAACATCTGCTTTTGATGAGTAAAAAAAGTGTACCAAATGATCTTTGATGTTAACCGAAATAAAATATTGACTTCACAAATTTATGACGATTTTGTTTTTTGGAATTCTGTTGAATGAGTGTTTTACTCCTGCTGATTGAGGCGACACCTACGCATGAAACGGCTGAGAATATCCTAAGTCATTTGCCTTTTTGTGTGTAGGTGTCAGCATGTACCTCACAAGAAATAACTCAATGCTTAACATCAGTGTCTGGGTTCCTCATCTACTACAATTCAAATTCAAAGAATTAAAAGAACCAGAAAAAATGCATTGTAAAATGTTAAAAATGAGCTCTGTTGTAGAGCTCATGTGTTGCCCCTCTCTAACCAAAAAAATCATTATACTGAGAAAATCAATGTTGACAAAAATGCCATATAAGAGTCCACCTGTATTTCAATATAAGAATCAAAGTGCTGATCCAGACATTTACTGTTTATAAATTCTTCACCAGGAGGGATAATGGATTTCTCAAGCTGTTGCGCAAATAATTGCAATGATACTTCAGCAAGAATATTCCCATCAAATATATTTCAGTCTCAATAAATGAAAACTTATTCTTATAAGAGATTAAACAAAGGCTTTCACCAGATCCCAGTGATTATTCTCATATGTGACAAAATTCTTACTCTATTTACAGTGTCAAGAGATATTTTCATATAGCTTTTTTTAATTTACCGCCATCAATTTTTTCAAGGATAAAAGTCCAATAACAACAAAAAATTTATTAAATGAGATAAAATAAACAGAAAAAATGCTTCTTCTTTCCAACTTATGAAGGAGATTAGTCTTTAAAAAATCATCTGAGGTCACCTTTTTTGACAGAGACCTTTATTATTAACTTCTTCTTTTTATTCATGGCCTTCTTTGGCATTAACCTCAGAAATCCCAACAAGAACACAACTGAAAAAGGCCTGCACTGGTAGTGTTTCCCAGTTATTACAATAAATCTCATTTCAGAAAAAGTCCCCAGCATTAGAGGCAATGAAGTAAAGAAAAATAATGAAGCTTGAATAATTTTTGCATTTCCAGCAACACTGCAATGGGAGCAGCAACAGAATCCAGAAAACATACACAGCAGTTATCCCATGAAAGGAGAAGCATTCTGGGCAATGTACAATGCAATTAGCCTGGTGTGGCACCTAACTCAAGTACAGTACAGTCAAAGAGAAAAAAAAAAAAAGCTTCAAGCCTGATGCACACAAAAGGACAGAGGCCACATTTGTTGCCTCTTTGCTTTTTTGAGATAATGCTTTAGCATGGGGGGAAAAACAAAAGCTCAGTGGGGGTTGAAATATCCCACACTGAGTGTTTTGTGTGATATCGTCGGTTGGTGACTTATTTTGTTTGCGAACTAAAAGAAAATGGAGGGTTTCTTTACATTGTGACCGTCAACTTTGAACCCACAGTCACTTTTTATATAGTAAAGTTAGTTCTCTGCACATGATTCACAAGCTCAAGAAATGCAAGTGGGTGGACTTACAAGACTCAAATTCAAAAAGGTGGGTGTTACACAAATCCCAGAAAAATGTTTACAGGAAATTTTGCTTCTTTCTAACAAATAGGTGCTACAAATAAAAAACACAAGAGGTAAGTTTTTTTTTCTCTATACAGCAGAGACTTGAGAATTAACAAAAGCCCAATTTCTATTGTGTGAAAGCACTCTGTGTCCCTGCAGTGGGTAACTCTTTTCTCCATTCCACCACTGCCTGCATTTCCATTCATTCTCACCCTCTCTTTCTCTCTGCATGTGCTTCATTTCACTAAACATGAGCAAAAAGTGAATCCATAATACTACAGAACAGTGTTGCCCAACCCAATGGTCTGCAAACCAGCACCAGTCCTCAAACTTTTTTTTTGCATGCCATTATGTGGGAAATTGTTTTCAGCATAAAATATTTTATCAAATGTTGCAATGAAGTCTGTTATCTTTATCTGGCATTTTGAAAAGACAATGGCAGTTGAATCTATCTGATGAAAAAAGTTGGTTTTTTGCTAATAGCACTTCAGACAAATTTTCAACTGCTGAAATAAATTATTTCAATTTTTGATTTCAAGAAACTTTTCCAATTTTTTTTAAAGGCATTCAATAGCTGCTTCATTGCTTCTTGACTCAATTTTTTACAAAAAAGCAGAAATTTCTCAAGAGTACCTACCAATATACACTTTTTTTTTAGTCTGCAAAACTTTCATGAAACTTTGCCAGTCTGTGGGCCCAAAAAGGATGGGTAACACTGCTATAACAGTACACATCATACTTGTTAGATTGAGTCACAATTGTTCTGCTGATGTCAATAAGAAAATTCATACTGGAGTCCAATGATTTAGTGTCCAAGAGGCAAATTAATTGTCAGAGGTGAAAATACAGAATTGTGATGAAGCCGGTGGGATCCATCAAAAGGGTACAGTTATTTTTTGACAGCTGCTAATTTTTTTTCCATACACTCAAGTCCCATGTGAGGAAAAAAAATCAACGGGCATGGGCTTTGCAGTGGGGTCGACCACCTTTGTTGACAAACCCTTCTCCCTCCAGGTTCTTGTGGCAAACCTGTGAAATACATAAACAGCAACACCAAAAATGTTGAAATATTTTCAGAAAACTGCAGTTGGGTACCAGACTAAAAATGAATGCATGGGTCCCTGCTAAACAAAACCAATAGGTTTCCAGGTGAATTTTATATATGAGGCCACCATTTCCATTTCACAGTAATAACCCATAGAATATATTTGAACCTCTTTAAGTTCAATTTCAAAGGGAACTCCCAAAACATTCACCTGAAACATTTTTGAGGGGTATGGAAACATAGCTTGATTTGTGTAAGTTGATCAATTCAAATGATTTAATGAAGAAAATTGAAGAGTTCATCACTCTTTGCAGGAATAAGGTCATCAAATTCCTCCTTATGGAAAGCTTAACTATTGCATATGTTCTAAAATGTATTATTCATGCCTTATAGCACAAAAGCAATCTAAAATTTCTGTAAGGAACATTAGAGCCAATGAGTTTTGATTCATGGAGGTTATAGTACACATTGGTATCAGAAAATTGGCCAAAGATTCACAGGAAATTAGACTTGAAGAGGCTGAATTATGATCTAAAAACATTTCAATCATTTCCAGAAATGCAAAATTTTCTTTTTAAATACTGTACTCAAAAACCCGAGTATTTCACAAGTTTATAAACTGTAGATTCTTGCTAATATGTGCTTTAATGAGGGTTATGGTATGGGTAAGTGGTTATTATTGATTGATTGTCTGATCAATGAAACTGAAGGTGGGGGCAAAGGGGCCCTTCTATGGCTTCTGCCATAACAAAATTTGAAAAATTTCAAGAAAAAATGTGTACATTATACCCAGACAATTTTTAGCTCTTACATTCTTCCAATTGAAAAAATGGCTTATCAACAGAAATCCTACCTGCCTTTTCTTCAAAATAAAACGTTTGCTTTGCTTCAGAAAAAGTGGACAATTCGTTTGCAAAATGTTATACATACATCCAGAAGATTTTTGTCCACCTTTTCACTGAAGCATGTATGTCATGCAGGGACCCATTGCATTCATATTTCAAAACATACACTCATCCACTCCTCATCTAAATTCAACAAGAGTAATCCCTCTTTTGCTGGAGATAATTTCTGCACATTGAAATGAATGCAGTCAAACCAAAGTAATTACCATATATACATGAATCAAATAACCTTCTGAAATCTCTGTGACATTCAGAAATATGCTGAACTCTTCTCTCAATGTCTGAAAACTGAAACAGGATTTTCATTCAAGTCCAAAAAATGTATCACAAAATTAACTCAAAATTTTTTTCTGAAATTTTCTCCAAAATAAAGTTGCTGTATATACAATGGAAAAAAAAGCAAAACAGCATTATTACATTCAAAAGTTTAAAAATACTGAAAACGGGGGGGGGGGGGGGGGGAAG